CTAGAGCCTCTCTACCCCTGCCTTTCCCGGCCGGGCTCAGGCTGCTGCTGACTTTTCCGCAGCCATACAGGCGGATGCTGCCACTCCCATGCGTCCAGTCTCCGGAGCGTCCATCCTCAGCTGAGCACAGAGTGCTACATAGCAGTCATTGTTGTGTGTCCCTCCACAGCTTGCAGACTTTTTCCACACTAGATGTCTGAAAGTATCTCTAGTTTTCATAATCCACTAGTTTGTACATGTTACATGGTCAATAAATGTTGGATTCTGAGTCTTAGCATAAAGCAAACTGTTAAAGGCAGTGTGTTCAAATGTGTGTTTTAAGGAGCATTTCACTTTGATTTACAAAAGGCTGTTGAAATAAAAAACATTCATACAGAAGATTAGGGTGACAGATAAAGGGGATAAGGGTTCCTTTTTTGAGGTGATTAGAATGTTATAAAATGGACTGGTTTTGGTTGCACATCTATAAATACACTAAAAAACTTTGTACACTTTAAATGGATGAATTATATATCAATAAAGCCGGTTTTTTTACCAAAGGAAAAATTTTAATCTAGAATTGGAAAAAATACGGAAGAAAGAAAAGTAAGTTGGAGAGCTCACAGAATTTCTAGGAGGGATGGATTACCAGGCTCTGAGCCTGAAACATCCAGAGCTCTGAGTATGTCTGAATGGATTCTGTCCCCATCCGTGCTTCTTTGCCTCACCAGTTTCCAATTCAAAGACTGGAGCAGGTGCTTCTGACAAACAGAGTCCAGGTCTTACACCCATGCTCTAGCTGCAAGGGAGGCTGGAAAAGTATTTTGTATTTTCAGCGTGTATAATAGGAAGGGACTATGCCTCATAAGCTGGGTACCCCCCAAGCATATGAAAAGATTTTAGATGTTGAACAGCACAATTTTAAAAACCAAAAAAACACAAAAGATTACCTTTTTGTCTTCACTTTGTGTTAGGATTACAAATTCTTCTAAGGGTTAGTTTGATTTCTAAGCAAGCTCATTGGAGATGCTAAAAAAGATCAACATTATAGCTTTGATTTCCATTACTGGTTTTATAATCACTTATCTCTCTTTTATTACCTTACTCAGCAGTCTCACAAATCGTTTCTCTGATACCAAGGAAAATCAGGTGTAAGAATCTATGGATTATTCTTTGCAAAACCATCCTGACCTGGAGGGAGGCGGGATGGTGGAGACTCAGATTATAGACCTTGCTGTTGTAGAATGAGCCTTCAATAAAATGTTAATGTATGTAACTAACTGTAATAGTCTAAGATAAATTTTATCACTGAAGTTGATAATTTTACCTTACTCTCTTCCATTTTTAAAATCTTATGAAATATTTGAAAAGGCAATAAGCATAGTTCATAAATCCCATAATGAATACCAACAATTCAAACACTTTAGGATGTTTTCCTGAGCCTAAGAATGTGTTAAAAATCATTGTAGATTAGTAAGCCTTGAGTTTTCTTCCTGAGGATTCATACATATCAGGACTTTCTTCTTGGTTCTCCTTAATTAGCTGGTGTTTTTAAACTTTGATTAATTGCCCTTTTGATGGGGGGGGGAGATTATAACAGGCAATTCAAGCTGGTAGTGTGTTATGTTGATAAAACAGAAATAAGCACAATTCTAATAATGGACAAAACTTCTATTCTTCATTTCAGGGTGTATATATTTAACCAAATAAAGTGCAATATGTCATTAATATAGAATAAATTATTTGACATTAAAACTAAAAACATCATCTTTTACCCCATAATGCAATGACACTAAATAACTAGACTAAAAGTTTGAATACCGGTTCTGCCACTTAATTGTCAAAGGACCTTGGAAAAATTACTTGGCCTCTTTAGGCCTTAATTTGTTCATTTGTAAAAAGCAGATAATAGCATCTATTTGTGGGATTATTATAAAAATTAAATGAATTTGTTATGTGAGGTAAGCACTTAAAACAATACCTGGCACATGGCAGGCAAAAAAACTCAATAAATGTTAGCAAATTATCTCAGGAACTTGTTGATTTATTTTTTTAACTTTTTATTTTGACATAGTTTCAAATTTATAGAACAGTGTCAGGAGTAGCCCCCTCTTCGTATACCCTTCATCCAGGTTCCCCAAATGTTAATGATTTACCATATTTGCTTTGTCCTTGATCTGTGCATATTTGTTTTGTTTATAACCTTTCTTACATGTCCACAGTGCAGCAGCTCTCAAAATCATCAAGAAATTATCATTGCTACAACATTGTTATCTAATCTATAGACTTGAATCAGATTTTGCCAGTTGTTCCAATAATGGGCTTTATAGCAGAAGAAAATCCCAGATTATGCCTTTTATTCTATTGTCATATCCCTTTAGTGCCCTTAATCTGGAACAGCTCCTCATGGTGGTTTTGGTTTGGTTTGGTTTGGTTTGGTTTTTTTGGTCTTTTAAGACTTTGGTGTTTTTTGATATATACAGGCCAATTATTCTTAGAATGTTCTTCAATGTGAGTTTGTTTGTTCCCTCATGTTTAGGCTCAGGTAGTACATTTTTCTCAGGATTACCATAGATATGATGCTGTATTCTTTTCTTTGGAAGAGATCAGGAAGCATATGATATTTGTTTGTTCCATTACTGGAATGTTAACGTTGATCATGTGGTTAGGATGGTGTCTGTCAGGTTTGCCAGTATAAAGTTACCATTTTTCAGTTTGTAATTAATCTTATATAGGGAGATACCTTTAGACTATGTACATATTTCTGTTACTGCAAAGCTTTACCCACTAGTTTGGTATTCATTATTATTATGATGTTTGCCAAAGGTGATTTCATTTCTTCTACAGTTATTAGTTTATTCATTGGCATTCTACGGACTTTCCCTTGTTTTCCAATTATTAATATTTGTATCACTGTAGATTCATCTATACTTATACATTCTTTGGGTTATAATAATTATTTGCTGCTCAGATTATTCCCAGTTTGGCCAGTGAGAGCCCCATTAAAGCTGGCTTCTATGTCCTTTCTGTCATGTCCCTGTTTGAGCATGTACTTTCTGGCACAAGATGTTTCAGGTACATTTTGTACTTGAGGTACCCCAGCCCTGAAATCCGCCATTTCTCCAAGAATGCTAATTTATATTTTAGGTAGAGGAAGGAGGCTTGTGTCTTATGCTGATTTCCAAAGTAATATTAGCAGGTGAAACAGAAATTCCTTTTAAAATGTCACTAATGCTTTAAGATTAATTCATTCTCTCATTCACTAAGTTTCCTTTCTGTGCTTGGGGCTAGATACTTACAATATAAGTGAAGTTTAACTCCAGTTCACATTTCAAAACCAATGTCAAAGTAATTGGTATGGACAATTAAATGCTATAGATGTTCAGAGATGGGCTAGAAACCTGGGAATTGAAGAGAAATTTGAGAAAAGAGTGGAGTTTAAATAAACAGAAGGGAACAGGGAGGACATTCAATTCAGGGGTACAGAATGAGCGAAGGTATGGCACTAAGAATAGGCATGACCTATTAGAGAATTTCTTTTAAAGTTTATTGGGGTGACAACTATTAGAGAATTTTGAGAAGCCTGACTAGTTGGTGGAGTTAACAGTGTTGGTAGTTAGTGGGTAGAGGGGGTTCAGTTTCTTGGGCGCCTAGATTCCAGGCTGACTCATTTAGAATTTATCCTACAAGCAATGAAGAGTCCTCAAGTTTGGGGGCTAGGTAGTCATAAAGTGTATGTTTTAGGAAGGTTAATCGGATGTTATATTTCAGAATAGATTGGAAACAAGGCAAGTTATAAAACTATTAAAATAATTGAGGCAAAGCCAGTAGGAATTCAAACTGAGAGGAATTTGGAAGGAAGAAATGAGTTTAGTGTGTAGAGTCAGGATACCTGGGAGAATGGGGGACTCTGATAAAACTGGGAACTGATGATGTTTATAAAGGAAAGAAAACAGAAATGTGAAGAGAAACTCAAAGGAAAACAGGTTTGGTGATATTGAAATTTTTAACTTTTTTTCTATAATGCTTGGTTAAGAACCGTAGAGTGACTCCATAAATTTTTATACAAAACAATATAGTTAAAAAGTAATGACATAGGGCCATATAATATCATAATTATTAGACACAGTAATGCTTGTTGACTTTCAGAACACTCATTAGACATAGATATTTGGTAACAACCTTAGTTTTCATAGCCTTAGATTTATGGTGAAAATAGGAAATTGTTTGGGTTTGATATGCTCTAGTATATTCAACCATATTACTAGTCTCAAATCACGTCTCTGAATTGAGATTCAGATTCCTCATTGATTTGAAATGTATGGCTCTTTTTGGCATTTGGGGGCAGAGAAATTTGTTTCCAAGTGTTGCATTTGATTCTTCTTGTGTTATTAAAATCCACATTCCCATTCTTCCCTTTAAAAGAATATCTGTTTTTAACTTCAACTTTGTATAAAGACGGAATCATCGGAAACTAAGAACTTAGCTTACAAGATCTTAAAGTCACCAAATATTGTGACCAAGACAGACTTTGCCATATGTTGGGAGATAGGTGTAGAAAGTAGATCCAAACACTCCACAGAAAGTGAGAATCAGAGTTCCTGAATATTTTGCCATTTCACTAATTTTTAAAATTAAACATATTTCAGTCTTTACCAGACCATTATTTTTCTTCATGGATGTGGCAAGAAAAGTGACACAGGTCTGTTATCTCTCTAGCTACTATCTCTTCAGGCTTTCTGAACTGGCTTGAATCCTAGAGGTTACATCTGAGAACTAAACCTCATTCCATCCACAGGATACCAAGCAGGTTTGTTCATTTGTTTGTTAATAGGTTAATATATGGACTTACTAATTAAAATCTGTTGAAACATATTTCATGAAGGAATGTTATTAACCATAGAATGTGTTGGGATGATGCTGGTAACTGTCATAATTTCTCCTGCTACAGTTTATAAAAAGGAAAATAAAGTCGGTTCTTTTTGTTGGGAAAGAAGATTTCATGTTATCTGTATTTGCAGGCTTTCTGGCTCACATGCTGGAGGAATCCTTGCTGCGGGGGTGTTTTCATTTTCTCGTCTAACATGGCAGTGGTCCATTGCAGCAGAGGTTTTTAGCTTAAACAATCTGTTTGTGGGGCTGCTTATGGCTCTTACTGTACATTTTGAGGAGGCAGCAACTGCAAAAGAAAGATCAAAGGTAACCTATGTTGATCAAAATGAAATCACTTTTTGTTTTAATTTGTAGATAGATGCTGTATTTCTTTTTAACTTTGGTTTAAGTACTGTCTATCTGTTCTGATTACTGTCCAGGTAATCTAGGCATGTTGAGAGAGAAAATATTCTCAGTTCTTCTACTGTGAGCCATGAGGGACTTTATAAAATACGGGACTTTATTTTCCTTAGAGTTCAAAAGTTTTTTGGAGAAAGGGGATTCTGAAATCCCCTTTAAATTCTATGGGAAAGAGAGGCTGGCTGGTTGCTTCCACCATCGTGTGTGTGTGTGTGTGTGTGTGTGTGTGTGTGTGTTATTCATAAGATGCCAGGTCTAGCTTGACCACCTTAAATTATATACCATTATGGTACATTGACTTAGTCTCTAATTGCAAAACAAGATCAAGTTTGTACCTTTTTCTAACTAAGGAGAGTATCAAGTATAGAAATGAAGGAGTTCAGAAGAGATTACAATGAATTCTAAGACAGATACTATCATCAAAATAATTTGAAATGTGAAGGAGCCCTGTCTTCTAAGAGCTTACAGTCTACACCTTGGAAAGTGCCAGATCACCTCAGTATAGGCAGCGCTGTGTCATTAAACAACGTAGAAACAAAAGAACATCATGGTTCCTCTGTGGTTTGCATAAACAGATCTGTGATGCTATTACAGTTTATTTTTTATTTAAAATAAACTTTTCTAATTATGAAAATAACGCATGTTCGAGAAAAAAAAAAGCAAAAAGACACCACCCATAAATAACCAGGTTCTAAATAAAAAGTGTTATATGTCATTTATATAATTTAATAGGAGAAAAAGTAAAATAGAAAGAGTTGCTGAACTTCAGTTATAGATTTTACTCGAATAAGAATTACACAATATCCTCTTACTGTTAGGACTTATCTAAGTCATTATACAGGACTGTGTAAAACTTAGTTTGAAGACAGTCATTTAACGTCAAACTGCAATGATTTGATGAGAATGAAAAACATTAATAGAAAATAATGGTGATAAATATTAGTGACTGGTAAAGCATGACTGCTTACATTTAAGAGGTTGATTGTAACCTGACCTATAGTACAAATGCTTGGTTTTAATACGAAGAATAGCTTTTTACTATTGTGCTTACTTAAGAGTTTTAGATGAATATTTAACCTTTTTTTTTTTTTTTTCAGATAGCTAAAATTGGTGCTTTCTGCTGTGGCCTTAGCTTGTGTAATCAACACACAATAGTACTCTATGTTTTGTGCATAACACCATGGATTCTTTTTCGACTTTTAAAAGAAAAGGTAGGTTTTTTTAATTTTATAAAAATGAAAATTTATAATATTTTATTTAGGCTCAATATAACATTTATGGCATCAGAAAACATGGGGCTTTAATTTTTTTTTTTTTTTTAGTTTTATATCTAGCATCAATTACCTTAGGCCCTAACAACATTGACTGAAAAAAATAGGATTTACAAAAATAATGCAGTATTGATTGCAGTCACACCTGGCCTACTTCATAATTTCCTTACTGATTCTGAACAGCACCTTGATGAAAATAGACTAAAAGGACTTAAAACAACAATAGCAAAATTTTGTATTTTATTATATATTCTAAGTCAAAGAATAGTGTATTGATAATAGTTAATTCTTTTATGCAACTATTTGTTGAGTGCCTGCTCTGTGCCAGATGCTGTTCTGGGTGCTAGAGGTTCAGCTCTCAACAAAACAGACACCACTGCTGCTATTGTGAAATAAAATCTCTGATAAATAGCAGTCCTGTTTTCACAGAACAGATTCCCCTAGAATGAAAAATGATTATTTTAGTTTCTTCTTTCTCTGAAAGGAAAAATAATTATAAATTTAAATGGTGGTAGAAAGCAACATAGGACAATTACTTTGTTAGGCAGTAGGAGATGTAGGTAAGCAAAAAGTAGGTAGCTGAGTCAGACACAAGCCCTTGGAAAGATAGAAGTTCTTTATTCTGTCCCTCTTCTTCCTAGAGGTTAAAATAGTTTCAATACAAAGCCAGTGCTAGTCATTTTACTCTATTTATTTATTGCTTGTTTTTTGTTTTTTTAAAGATTTTTTTTTTATTGGGGAATTGGGGGATGGGAACAGTGCTGGGGAATTGGGGGAAGGGGAACAGGCAAGTTGCTGTCGTTTTGTTCTTTAGTCTAGTTGTGGAGGACGTTGCTTCACTGGCCCAAGTTGGCACCATCATTGCGCTCTTCCCAGGTGAGGCAGATCAGTCGCCGGCTTCTGGACGGCCGCTCACTGCGGCTGCTGGCCACACACGATAGCCCATGGCAACCCACTGCAGCAGGGGCTGCAGCCTACGCCGTCGCCGGCGACTCACAGCAGCCCAGCTCCAGTTTGAGCTGTTGTTCAGCATCTTAGCTGTAGAGGGCAGTGTCACTGGCCCTCATATGTGGGATCTGAACCGGGGCCCTCTGGCGTCCCAAGCCAGTTCTTAACCATCGTGCCACTCAGCCGGCCCAATTGCTTGTGTTTTTGTTCATTATACCTCAGGCACATTTATTTATCATTTCATTATTTGTCACATATACATAGCTATCATTAGAAATATATTAGAAAAAATACATATGATAAAATTATTATATAGAAATAGGGAAATAATTATACCAAAGCTTTAGATGAGTGTATTTACTGTATTTGAATACATTTTCTTTCTTAACTTTTTGACAACAAAGCAGAAAAATAATGTGGAAATTATAAAATTCTTATATGATTAAAAAAAAATAACAACATAATTGACAGGAAAGATCAACTTTTTCTTGGAACTGAATTCTGTTAAGTCAATCATATAAGACCTTATGTAATGGATATTAAACAACCTAACAGGCATAGCGTTTTTATAGAGTATACAGAAAGTTCTTTATAGGTCTTTTATAACTTCTTGATTAAAACAATGAAGATATAACATAAAAAAAGTGTAACTCAATGGAGACCTCTATGGGATATAAACCTGAGGAGGCCCAAATATTTTTCTTGTGAATTGATGGATGCACAGATAGGGATGCATTTACATCCTGATACCAGTCGTCTTAACCAGGCTTCTCTTTTTTCCAGCTCTATTGAGCTGTAATATTTTTTTTTTAGAAATGTTATGTATTATTTATTTTATTTTTTATTTTTATTTTTTTTACTTTTTTTTTTATTGGGGAATTGGGGGAAGGGGAACAGACAAGTTGCTGTCATTTTGTTCTTCAGTTTGTTCTTCAGTCTAGTTGTGGAGGATGTCGCTTCACTGGCCCAAGTTGGCACCATCATTGCGCTCTTCCCCAGCGAGGCACATCAGTTGCCGGCTTTTGGACGGCCGCTCACGCTGGCTGCTGGCTACACACGGTAGCCTATGGCAACCCACCTGCCGTCACTGGCGACTCAAGGCAGCCCAGCTCCAGGTCGAGCTGTTGTTCAGCATCTTAGCTGTGGAGGGCAGCGTCACTGGCCCTCATATGTGGGATCCGAACCTGGGCCCTCTGGTGTCCCAAGCCAGCTCTTAACCAACACACCACTCGGCCGGCCTGAGATATAATTGACATATAGCACTGTGTAAGTTTAAGTGCACAATGTGATGATTTAATATATGTATATATTTATTGCAAAATGTTTACTACAATAAGGTTAGTCAACAGCGTCATCACCTCATATAATTACAGAGCTGTGCATATGCTGAGAACTTTTAAGATCTACTCTCTCAGCACCTTTCAAATATATAACACAGTATTGTTAACTCTAGTCCCCATGCTGTATATTATATCCCCGGAACTTACTAATTTTATAACTGGAAATTTGTACCCTTTTACCACTTTCATCCATTTCCCACACCCCTCAACCCCCACCTCTGGCAACCACCAATCTATTCTGTTTCTATGAGTTCAGTTTTTTTAGATTTTCCATGTAGGAGAGGTCATATGGTATTTGCCTTTCTCTGTCTGACTTATTCCACTTAGCATCATGCCCTCAAGGTCCATCCACGTTGTCACAAATATCAGGATTTTCTTCTTTTAATGGCTGAAAAATATTTACATATATACACATACATGTATATGTGTCACATTTTCTTTAACCATTTATCTGTCTATGGACACTGAGGTTGTTTTCATGTCTTGCCTATTGCAAATAATGCTGCAGTGAACATGAGAATGCAGAGAGAGATAGTGATTTCATTTCCCTTGGGTCAATACCCAGAAGTGGAATTGCTGGGTCATAAAGTAGTTCTTTTCTAATATTTTGGGGAACCTCCTTACTGTTTTCCATCATGGCTGCACCAGTTTACATTCCCACCTACAGTGCACAAGGGTTCCTTTTCTCCACATTCTCACCAACATTTGTTATTTCTTGTATTTTTTTATATTAGCCATTCTCATAGGTGTAAGGAGATCTCATTGTGGTTTTGATTTGCATTTCCCTGATGATTAGTGAAGCTGGGCACCTTTTCATATATCTGTTGGCAGTTTGAATATCTTGTTTGGAAAAAATGTGTATTCAGGCCCCTTGCCCATTTTCTAGTCAGATTTCTTGTTTTTGGGGGGTTTTGTTTTGTTTGTTTGTTTTGCTATTGAGTTCAATAATATTTTGGATATTAACCCTTATCAGATATTGGGTTTGCAAATATTTTCTTCCATTCCACAGGCTGCCTTTTCATTTTGTTGATCATTTTTCTGAGCACAAGCTTTTAATGTGATGTTTTCCCCCTTGTTTCTTTTTGCTTTTATAGCTTGTGCTTTTGGTGTCATATCCAACAAATCATTGCCAAGACTAAAGTCAAAGAGCTTTTCCCCTGTGTTTTCTTCTAGGAATTTTATGGTGTCAGGTATTACATTTAAGTCTTTAATCTATTTCAAGTTAATTTTTGTGAGTGGTGTAAGATAGGGGTCCAATTTCATTATTTTGCATGTGAATATCCAGTTTTCCCAACAACATTTATTGAAGAGACTATCCTTTCCTCACAGAGTATTCTTGACACTCTTGTCAAATATTGACCATATATGCATGAGTTTATTTCTGGGCTCTCAGTTCTGTTCCATTGATCTATGTGTCTGTTTTTATGTCAGTACCATCCTGTTTTGACTACTGAAAATTTGTAATATAGTTTGAAATTACAAAGCATGATGCTTCCAACTTTGTTCTTTCTCAGGATTGCTTTGGCTATTCAGGGTCTTTTGTGGTTTCATACAAATTTTAGGATTCTTTGTCTATTTCTCTAAATAATGCCATTGGAATCTTGATAGGGATTGCAATGAATCTGTAGATGGCTTTGCACATTTTAACAATGTTTTTTTAAAAGTTTTAAAAACATTAATTCTTCCAATCCATGAACATGGGATATCTTTCCATGTATTTGCATCTTCTTCAATTTCTTTCATCAGTGACTTATATTTTTCAGTGCACAGATCTTTCACCTCCTTGGTTAAATTTATCTCTAAGTATTTTATTGTTTTGGATAGTATTGTAAATGGAATCATTTTCTTTATTTTTTTAGGTAGTTCATTGTTAGTGTGTAGAAATGCAACTAATTTTTATGTGTTTATTTTGTGTCCTGCAACTTTACTGAATTTGTTTATTAGTTCTAACAATTTTTTGGTGGCGTCTTTAGGGATTTCTATATATAAGATCATATCATCTGCAAACAGAGAATTTTACTTCTTCCTTTCTAATTTGGATGCCTTTTATTTCTTTTCCTTGCTTAATTGATCTGGCAAGGACTTCCAGTACTATGTGGAATAGGAATGGTGAGGGTGGGCACCCTTATGTTGTTCCTGATCTAAAAGGTAACACTTTCAGCCTTCATCACTAAGTATGATGTTAGCTTTGGGCTTGCCATATATGGCCTTTATGATGTTAAGGTATGCCTTAAATCAATTAACTCAGATTTATCTTAGGGTAGCTTTACAGATGGGCAGAACCTGGGCAAGTAAGGATGCAGTTTACCAAAATCTGAGCACTGGGCTGGTCCAAGTATAGTGGTGTCTACAATTAATTGATCACAGCCAGTTACAGATTTCTTTGTTCCTTCTCCACTCCCATTGCTCCACTTGACTAAAATCTGAGCACTAGTTGTTTTGTAAGCCCAGCTTCATTTCTCTGTCCCTGCCTGATCCCCAGTGGTTCAGCCTGGCAAATTCCACCCCTCCCCGCCCCAGTGGTCCCTATGAGGTAAGACCACAGTGAGCCACCTGGGAAGTGTCCTGCAATGTTGGAGGAGCTGGATGCCCACCTTGGACTTCCTTTTCCCACTGGAAAAACTGTAGCCCCAGGGGTGCCCTCTCGGTGCAGCACTGTGCTGGCCTGGGGAGGGGCGATGTGGTCAGATTGCTTCTTTTACACTTCTAATGCAGTCCTTCTCAGTCTCTGTGGCCCGGGCACATGTTCAGCCTCAACTTGGATTGTGGTATTTTCACAATGGAGTCTTGTCAATGCTTAGTCACTAGTTGGTCTTTTTGTGAGAAGAACCAAAGTTGGGAATGATCTATGTTGACATCTTAATGGTGTCACTCTTAGTCAGATTTCTGACACAAGAAAAGGTGCATTCAGATATCAGACAGGTGAATTCCCTGGCAAGAACCTAACAACCAAGTATTTTGTGTTAGTTGATTGAAAGGATAGCCATGTGCTTTGTTTAAAACATGCAGGACCCAGAGTTGACAAAGTAGGAGCCTATTTGATAGCCCGTTGGCCCTGCACTGAGGTCAACTACTGATGAAGGATGAAATTTTGGGCAGTATGATTCTTCAAAGAACCTTTCATTTCCATTATTTAAATAGGACAGGCTAGAAAATAAGGTCTACCAATGAAGTGACAGGGTAGTTGGATTTGAGGCACAACAAGAAATCCTGAGCCTGTTGGTTGCAACTCTGGCTTCTTGCTTAAATTATTTGGGAAGCTTTAAAAAAGCAAGTGTGTGTGTAGGAATGTGAAGATATATTAATGTATATATATGTGTGTGTGTATATGTGTGAGTATGTAGTTTTGCTGATTCCACCCTAAAATAATTCTGATTTAATTGACCTGGAGTAAGTCCCAAACATTGAAATTTTTTTAAAACTCCCGTGGTGATTCTAGTTGTATGTACAGGTGGGAACCACTCTCCTGGATGCTGTGAAATGACTCTCATAACTATCTCCCTGTTTATTTCCCCACACAGAAGGAAAATTCTGCAGCAACTGCATCTTGCCATTCTAAATTGAAATTTGTAATATGTAGAAACTGCCAAAATGTAAACATTCACCTTCTTTAAAACTACTTTTAAGAATAGCAAAGGCAGGGCTGGCCGAGTGGCGCGATGGTTAAGAGCTGGCTTGGGACGCCAGAGGGCCCCGGTTCAGATCCCACATATGAGGGCCAGTGACACTGCCCTCCACAG